TCATCCATCTCAGAGAACAAAACACTATAAGAAAAAATGTTTACTCAAATTACAGATCATTTCAAATTAAATTGGTAGAGTTTTATAAAACATTTCACAATTGGTTTGACCATTGAAAAATAATTGAAATATATATTACTGATTGAAATCATGAGTCAATTGAAGCTAGACCACCATGGAAAACCTGGAAGCACTGGACGGCCGTTTCGTCCTAGTATGGGACTTCTCAGCAGCGCACATCCACGATCCCGAACCGCACGAGATCCGAGCCCAGGGTCTATTGGTCTCGAGCTAGGCGCTTAACCAACTAGACAATTGAGCTGGCCGGCATCCAACGGTGTTAATGTCTAACTTCAACCAATTCACGAAGTTGCGCCACCGTACATCATTGTCTTCAGTGAGTTGAAATCTCACAACAGACCTGATTGAACTCCACTGGTAACGGCTTTTCACTAGAACTCCAGGAAATACCTGTTGAAGCCAGACATTAGTGAGCAGTGCTTCCAGATATTCCATGGTGGTCTAGCTTCAATTGACTCATGATTTCAATCAGTGAAATTTCTAAAATCTCCACAAAAACCCCTTCTAATAAATATATAATAATCAATAATGATTAAAAGAGAAAGAAAAAAGAAAAGAGAAAGAAGATATTTACCGTATCAGAAATTTGTTCATTTAATTCATTGATTTTATTTCGTAATTGTTCTTCTAATTTTTTACATTTTTCATTTTCTTGTTCATATTGTACTTGTAAATGATCATATTGAATTTTCATTTGATCATACTAACAATTATTGTTTTAGAGAATTAAGTAATATATACACATATATATATCAATTATTACATAATATTCTAGTTGAATTCATAAGTCAATTGAAGCTAGATCACTATGGACGGACGTTTCATCCTAGTATGAGACTCCACATTATTACCTATCCATGATCACGTCTAGTGCTTCCGGAGGTTTCCATGGTGATCTAGCTTCAATTGATTCATGAATTCAACTATAAAATTACTAAAGAATTTCCACAGAACCCCTTCTGACATTAACTATATTGTTCGTTTGAATCTTCCCATTGATGTTTAGAACTACAATTGATGAGTCACTTATGAGCAGATGTACAAACTGTGCGTATTGCCTCTATATTTCCTTAATTCACATGCATTCTAAGCAAAGATGGATAGTGGCTGGTAGTGGGATCCAGGACGCGCGTTCCTTCTTATTTCGGACTCGTCAGCTGGATGCACCTGCATCTCAGAGTTGATATTTACTCTGAGACTTGAACCCAGTATCATTCGCTTCAAACGCTATCGCATTATTCACTTAGCTACTGAGTTCTGATAGCTAATTGGATTTTGCGATGGGATAAAGTTTGAATTCACTTGGTATTGTTTACTTGAATCTTCCCATTGATGTTTATGTCTGCAATTGATCAGTCTCTTGTTGGCATATGTACATCCTGTGTGAACTGCTTCGATAGTGTCTTAAGTCAATTAGTCGCTAGTTGAATATCACGATAGCTTTCGTAGAGAACAGTACGGGGTTTCAGTCACGGAGGGAAGATCAACTTTGGGATGCTGGTACATCCAGCGCCCTGAAATTCCATTGCTAGCCACAATCATCTCTGCTTACATTGAGTGATTGTTGTATTTAATTTTGAAAATTTTTGACAGTATACATTAAAACGATTACACACGTTCAAACTGAGGATCTTTTCTTTTCAGTGTACTATCTAGTTACTAAGTAGATATTTAATGGTTAATAAGATTATTTTCTTACTTTTAACATTGTTAAAACATACATGTCATTACCTTTGGATAGAACATTGGAAATTCATTTTAAAGCATTTCAATTTGGCAAAAGATGTATTCATTGGTTTCTACTTTTTAATAGCTGTAAATCTAACGTATCTCAGTGCAGAAAACATCCTTCAAGTGTTGGATAGTTTAGTTTAATAAAAAGCAACTTTAAAATGTATCGTAATATTGCTTATTTGCACGGAGAAGAATGATCTAAACGGTAGAGACCATTTCAGTGTACGTATATTGGAAAGCAACTACCAAGGTAAGTTATAACAATCGATTGCTTAGTTGATTCAAATTGATCATTGTTTAGCGCTTTGTTTGCCATAAACTTAGCTTTAATCAAGAGTGTCTGGAAGATCATCAGACTAGAAGCGTACTGAAGAGTTTTCTATTATGGAGTAACGAAACTCAGTACTACACAATGTTGAACACAAATAAGATAGAGTTGGCAAAGTTGTGCTATTTATTAATGTTTCAGTAATTAATTGGTAACTCTACAAGAAACTGAAGTAACAGGCTCATTTCTATATTTATTATTTCTGAGGCTATAAGTATTTTCCGTCTAGAAACTTAAATTTAAATTGATATTTTAAAGTGATACTTTACTACTTATATGTTTATCAGTAGTGTATGGCCAGTGAAATGTCATTGAGCCCTAGCCAAATCATCCGGCAGTTGGATCACTGAATATCGAACAAATCATCGATCCTCGTCAAGGTCAAGGACAACCAATGCGCATCAGTTAATCGTATGCTATGAACTGGCTTATCCGGCGGTGGTCTTACTTTTGCTTGTATCGACTTTAACTAATATATTTCTGTAATAATGTCCTTTGCGTTGTACAATCTTCAAAGCACCTGTAGTACCTCGATACGTCTATGGGACAACCCAGGTAAGGTGCTGACCGCAAGGTGTGACTTCGACGTTAGTTTGTTTGTCACAACATTCCCGTCTTACTTTAATAGGCCCCCAATCATTCGACATAGATCAAACACATTTAATCTGTTCTGATGACATCATTGATCTTTCCTTTTATAAATAAATAAATAAACAAAAAGAGAGAGGTTCAATTTAAACCCACTTGTATTTGAGTTTCTTCAAATGATTTTTGTGCTTGTTCACAAGATATTTTCATTTCAGTATACTGTTTACGTAATCTGTCTAATTCTTGACTGGAAGTTGTAGATAATCCCATACTTGGCTAATATTAAGTAAACAAAAAAAGATGAATGATTCGAAAACACATTTAATGATGAAGTGTTGGTAAGATTCACTACATTATAATTAAAGACATAAAGTTTGTAGTTGAGTTTTGTAAACAAGAGAATAAAGTTGTAAAGTGTAAAACAGCGTATTCTAGTCCAGTGCTCTAGTTACTTTCGGTAACACAGTCAGATACGCTGAATAATGTGAAGAATTATATTTTAAGCTATAAGATATATTTTTTAGGTCCAGTGCTAGTTAGCATTAATAGACAAGAAATACATACCATTCTGAAGGAATAAAATGCCTCCATTAATATTCAAACGAATATAACAGTTAGAGCCATTTCTAAAAAGCATGTAGAGTCTCAATCACTTTCTTATACAACTAAGATGTTCACAGTAGTCAGTGGACTGTGTGATTAGAAAGAATCTAAGAATCCTTGAGAAAAATCCTTAATTTACCAAAGAACTTTAAATTGCATGAGTACAGATCAGAGTTAACTTCGCCTGTAGCTCTTCTAGAGCTAATGCCGGTCCCATACCCCAAGGTTGGGCATGGGGTTTGCGACCCCATCCTGTAGAAAACAAACTCGCTAAAAAAAACGCCAACCAAAAAAAAGAATTCAAATCATTTAAACTCATCAGAGTTAGTGATATATTTAGTGAAAAATCGGTACATAATTGATGGAAACAAAGATTTAATCACATCATGTATATATACTCAGTTAACGGGATACTATTTATTGGAGTCAGATATAGGGGGTACTAGCCTCTACAATATATATATATATATATATATATATATATATATATATATATATATATATATATATATATATATATATATATATATGGATTGAAACAATATTAGTAGATGAGATTAAATTCAGTTATCAAGAATATTGACAGTAAATAACAACAAACAAATAAATAATATACATCTGCTACTCTTATATCCGTTAGCAACGTAAACATAATAGACCTAACCAAAAGCAGCAACGATAACATAGATTTAATTTAAAATAAAATTTGATTAGAATTACCAATGGAATTTATCACGAGCATATTGTCCTACTTAGAACTTGTCAACTGGATATGACAGTATCCCATTGTTGTTATTTACATTTAAAATCAAACTCAGTACTACTCACTTCAAGCTACAACGCGTTTAGATCTATCACATCAATCGGTGACTACCTGGACTCTGTAGGTCACCGAATAAAATATTAAAATTTAAAGTAAAATGTATTAGGTTTAGGTTTCAATATTATTATCAACACTAAGATTCAGATACATCAAGCTGTGAAGTGCCAACCAGGACGAAATTTGCATTCTGAATTCCACTACTAGCAACTATTTAACTTTGATTAAAACTTGTCACAAAATTATAAGACCTAGATAATACGCTTAGGATGGACATTTGCTAATAGAGTCTGATCAATTGTAGTTCTTCATATCAACAAGCCATGGAAGCTCTCCGACGAGTTCAACTTTTCTGTATCAAATTAAAATATATGATTTGATTCTGACTATAGCTTTAATCGGTGAATGATTACTGCATTTCAAATAATTATATACTACTATTGTAATACATATAGCCAAGACAAAAAACAAGGTTTAAATGATTTATAACTATTTTACTTACTTGATATATTCTAGTAGATGTTAATGGTACTCCAGTAACAGATTCTGTTGATTCTTGTCTATCCAACAAACGTTGTCTTAAACTATCAATTTGACTCTCCAACTCTGTGTTACCTTTACGTAGACCATGAATTTCATCTAATAAATCATGCTGTCACAAAAATAAATGGAAAAAAAACATTGACTAGTTTACAAAAACACTCTTTACAATTTTGTTCTATGCAAACTGATCTTTTCCCCCTATACTTATAAATTATGTACAGTAACAAGAAACCTTGTAGAATAGTATAACAGTTTTAGATGATAGTTAAAACACTCAACTTTCAGTCGATATAGAACAGGATCCAGTCAACCTCACATCTTTTCGTCCAGACAGTACTTACTTAATGTACGTACGCCTATGACCTCCAAGGTGCATAGGTCACCGACCAATATTCTTCAACACGCTCTGTCCTCAGCCTTCCTTTCTAGTTCTATTCAATTGTTGTTCATTTCTCTCATATCTGTCTCCGTTTCTCAACGTAATGTGTTCTTTAATCTTCAACTTCTCACGCTTTGAGGATTTCATGTGAGGACTTGCCTGGTGACGCAGTTCAGTGCTTTCCTGAATGTGTGTCCTATCCACTTCCAGAGCTTCTTCCTGATTTCTTTCTCCTCTGGAATCTGGTTTGTTCTCTCTCACCGTAGGTTGTTGCTGATAATGTCTGACCAACGGATTCGAAGTATATTGCGTAGACAACTGTTAATAAACACTTGTATCTTCTTGATGATGGCTTTCGTAGTTCTCCAAGTTTACGCCCCATACAGTAGAACCGTCTTGACATTTGTATTGAAAAGTTTGACCATGGTGTTGGTTGACAGTTGTTTTGAGTTTCAGACGTCCTACAGTTGTAACTATGCTGCTCTTGCTTTGCCGATCCGAGCCTCCACATCTGCATCAGACCGACCCTGTTCATCAATGATGCTGCCCAAATACGTAAAGGTTTTTACATCTTCCAAATCTTTCCGTCAATTGTGATTGGATTGTTGCATGCTGTGTTGTATCAGAGAATCTTGCTTTCCCCTTTGCGTATGTTGAGACCTACTGCTAATGAGGCTGCTGCTACACTGGTCGTCTTCTCCTGCATTTGTTGTTGCGTTTGGGATAGAAGGACCAGATCATCTGCGAAGTCTAGATCGTCCAGCTGCATTCTAGCTGTCCACTGTATCCCGCGCTTCCCTTCAGATGTTGACGTCTTCATAATCGAGTCGACCAGCAGGAGAAAGAGAATGGGTGAGAGTAAGCAACCTTGCCTGACACCGGTCTATACTTCGAATGAGTCTGTCAATTGTCCTCAATGCACGATTTTACAGTTCAATCCATCGTAGGTATTCCGTATGATATTGACTATCTTCTGAGGTACGCTGTAATCTCGAAGAAGCTTCCATAGTGTTGTTCTGTCCACGCTATCAAATGCTAGTCAATGTATTTGATCTCGAGCGATGAATTCCATTCAACTGATTGTTCCACAAATAGTATGGATTAAATTCAAATGAATAAAGCTGGTTCATGTTAAATAAACTACATTAGATTACGTAACATAAAGATGAAACGGTGAGACTATAATTTATGCACAACCTTTGAGCAACGCTGAAGTGACCCTGAGAATACACACCTACTGATTAGGACTGAATGAAGGTAATAAACCAGTTAGAATTTACATCTTCCGTTGGTGGTTAAGGTTAAAAATTAGATTCAAGGTTTTCTACGCGAACCGATATCAGCTATAATGCCAAATCTCTATTAAGCCAAATGTATGAATGGATTTCACGCCAAAACTAATGATTCGTTATTTTATCTCTGATTGGTTCGTCCATAAATTATAGTCTCGCCGTATATGAGGAACAGAGTTTGTAATGGTGGAGATTTGTACCTCAGGCGGATGTTTTGGATGGAGTTTTTTCCTCTGAGCTAGATGGTTTGGTCGTGGAGCTTTCATCGTTCTTCTAAACGGCATCAAATTTCTCCACATATGATTCACAGCTTGTCCTGTACACCTCTACAAAATAAATCGTGCCAACTGCGAAAAACATTACATTAAACAAAGTGAACATCCTCTTTATCTTCACCTGCATGATGAACACCAATTAGTAGTTAGATGCCATGACAACTACGGACACACATTCGACTAGAAAAATTTGGAAATGTTGAATAGAGGTAACTTCAAAAACATCAGAGAATTTTTAGAACCTTAACACTCAGGTCAATCAGCAATCAACAAGCACATTGAAATCGATCCAATTTATCAATCAATCAGGGAAATTATGCACAAATATAGGAACAAAAATCAAACCAATGGGAGATACAACCAAAACAATGAAGTAAACAATGACGCGTTCGAGGTCAACAAGAACTAATGAACATCGAGGTGTACAGGATGAGTTGTGAACCAAATGCGGATAAATTCGAACATTTCATGTCTATGTGAATTTTGTGTTGATGATTGTCGTTCAGAAGAACGAATAAATCTCTACAACCAAACCGTCCAGTTCACAGAACAAAACTCTGAGTTTGTAATATCCTATAAATAACTAATAAAAAATATACATATATATATATACATAAGCGTTCGTGCGCGAGACCGGAGGCCCTGGCTTCAACTCTCACAAAAGGGATCGTGGATGGGCACTTCTGAGGAGTCCCACAATAGGACGAAATGACCGTCCAGTGCTTTCAGGTTTCTAACGGTGGTCTAACATCAATTAGTTCATGATCTCAATCAAACACTTAATAATCTCCACAACCCCTATACTGAGTATATTTTAATGATTAATTGTACTATTACTGATTCAATGTGATATTTCACATTTGTTATATATACCTTATTACTATATATTCTGTTCGGTGAATCCTTAAACAATCCATGACTAGTTTGCTTCATAGATTAATATTGTTCTATATGAATGAATAAATGAATGGGAAAGCGGTATTTAGTTTACTATTATATATATGATTCTAATATGGATTCATTATTTATTTAACTCATTAGCTATGGGTATACATATTTTATTATTTGCCATTGACTATAGTTAATTAATTATGAACTATTGAGTATAGTAACACAAGTAATTTACTTATGTATAGATTATGATTTATAATTTATGGTTCATTGCGATCGATTGTATCCTTTGAATTGGAAAAAAAAACCAGAATAAATTAGATGTCTTTACTCGTCTTCTTATGAAGGTGATGAGATCCAGGAATAAGTTACTTGAGTCTATCAGTGTCAACATCATTAAGCGGACTTATTGGTTAAGTGAATGTGTCATTAGTATTATTGTCGGAAGTAAACTCATCATAAATGAACTTAATAAAACAAATTTTTATGTTAATTAGGGTACAAAAGAGTGAGTTCATGTCAGTTATACATTGCAAAATAATTGAAAACTAAGGAACATTGGATAGCTGTACGAAACTGTTTTGCATGTAATGAGACATCATATAATCTCTTATGTGAGTAAATGAAATCTACTAACTACTAATCATGACATTTCATAGTAGAACCTTGTTAAAATATCCCTAAGCTAGTTACTAATGTGTGTTCAATCACATTTAGTTGAAAGACTATGTATTGATTAGTTTATCAACCACACGTGTGAATGTTCGTAACAGCAGATGAATACGGAATCTGTCACCTTAAACATCACTAATAATGCTATAGAAACAAACCTTATAATTTCAGACTAAACAAAAGTTACTGAATAAGTTGTAAATTGATGTAAATAATAAAAAAGCAAAGTCAATTACTAGAGAATAAAGTCTACGGCCCCAAATTCCCTGGTACGGCCGAGAGTGGTGAGAGTCCGCTCTCCCTCTCCAAATGCTCTCACATGGCCACGCGTATATAGCCTCCGTCAGGAATGTCCTACTCACTGCCTTCCCGTGGTGGGGTTGTTGTTTAAGAAATTGAGGGGACGAAAAGTGAACGTATGGTGCTTTAACCGGGTTGGTGAACATGGAGGGTCCACCAAGGGGAGCTGGAAAACCCTGATTCCAAACCACTGGTGCACATGAGCTCCAGTACCCTGAGGGAAAAAATGATATATGAACCAATCGTTGGTCACCGGCTTCCATGGGACTTCATCTCCCTACGATGCTCCACTGCCTTGTGGACCAGACCTTCAGGTCGAAGGCTCGGGGTGTGGCCCCCTAAGAAAACCACCTGCTTCGGTTTGAGCAACCGGGCAGTGTCACAGCCCTCACACATTTGCGTGGCGCATATGTATTTGGTGCTTCCTTGTACCAATATCTATGTGCTAAAATAAATAAATGATAAAGAATAAAGTCTTCAACCATGTACAACCAATTATGATGAATTAACGGACTTACATTTTCATTTTCAAGTTTTCTTAATCTCATTTCACGTTCTTCTGCACGTTTCTGATTAACTGATAATCGATTATTGGTTTCTTCGATTGTAGACTGTAGACGAGTAATTTCATCAGCTTGACAACGCTTTACATAAAACAAAAGATTTCCAAACAATATATATATATATATAAAACTTATTCAGGCCTTACATTTATAAATTTATAGTTATTGTACTGAATTAGATAAAATGTAGAAGTATACATACGAATGTTAGAACTGAATCAATCAGTCACGAATTGAAATTAGTGTATATCATGTCGACTGAACTAATATTCAAATGTCGGATAAATGAATAAAGAGATCTTGTAAGTATAGAATATAAACAATTCTTTATAACGAACTAAAAGTTAGACATTCACAACGTTGGATGCCAGCCAGCTCAGTGGTCTAGAGGTTAAGCGCTCGTGCTCGAGACTGATAAGTTTTGAGTTCGAATCACTTAAGACGGGATCGTGGATGCGCACTGCTGAGAAGTCCTACGATAGGACGAAACGGCCATCCAGTGGTTCCAGGTTTTCTATGGTGATTAAGCTTCAAATGATTCATGAATTCAACTATTAAATTACCCTTCCCGATAAGAATCAATTGAAGAACCACTGATCGAAACAACTGGGTAACCATTTTATTATCATTTGAAACTCAATTAAAATGTTCACTCATAGAAGTTATACATTTACAGTGTTATACATCACTGATTTCATCAGAAATAGATAGACAATCAATACTGCTTAAAAGTTCTCAATTGCTTAAGTGTCGTCTGCTCTGTTTAACCTTCTATCAAAAATGTTTTGATCATAAACTAATTAAGATTTCTTAGTTAAAGTGTTTTAGCAGTAGATTTCTTGATATTAGAAATGTATATCATTGAATGTTAACTCAATCAAGTGCTTTCTTAGATGCCTTAAGATCATGAATTTTTAAATCTATAATCTGTTAGTTGATGAGCACTACTGTAAAGTTTTATATTAGAAAGAGACAACTGTACAGTGTTTCATATTTCTCAATCGTTCTTCAAGGAAAACCATCTTGTATAATACAACTGCAAAATAAATATGATTTTTCAAAAGACAAACGTACGATTTCACTTGTTTGACTCTTCAACTGATGTCCTTTCTCATCTAGTTTCATTTCCAAATGTCCAATACGTGTTACTTGTTCTTGATTAGTAGAACGTAGTCGTGTCAGTTCCTCTGTCTGCAGTGCGTAAAAATTAAATTGATAATTACAATATATTATCACAATGGTCATATTGAATGTTAATTACGGAAAATAAATAAAATAATAGTTATTGACAGAAATAATTAAAATCAGAATACGGTTTGTAGAGATTGTAGTAATTTTGATAGTTGAATTTATTAGTCGATACAAACTAGACCACTATTGAATAACTGGAAGCACCAAACGGCCGTTTAGTTCAAGTATGGGACTCAGCAGTGCTCATCTACGATCCCGTACGTATGACTCGAACTCAAGACCTTCGGTCTCACAAGCGAACGCTAAACCACTAGACCATTGAGTCGGTCATCCACTGATTCCAGGTTTTCAGTGGTGGTCTATCTTGTATCCACTAATGAATCCAGCTATTAGAAGTGATTAAATGGATAGATTCCATGTAGAGATACTTTAGACTACATGAACTGTCTTATTTCATTTCACACAAATAAATATCGCACAGTATGACATAGCTACGACGGCGGAAAAGGCTGCAAGAGAAGGAAACATGAGACAATTGTATGACACGACAAAGAAACTCTCTGGAAATCGCCGCAAACCAGAACGACCAGTGAAAAGCAAGGAAGGCGAGGTAATCACCAACATTGAAGAGCAACAAAACAGGTGGGTAGAACACTTCAAAGAACTCTTGAATCGACCAGCCCCACTGAACCCACCCAACATCGAAGCAGCACCCACGGACCTCCCAATTAATGTTGGCCCACCAACAATTGAAGAAATCAGCATAGCCATCAGACAAATCAAGAGTGGCAAAGCAGCAGGACCGGACAACATCCCAGCAGAGGCACTAAAAGCAGACGTAGCGGCAACTGCACGGATACTCCACATTCTCTTCAATAAGATTTGGGATGGGGAACAAGTACCAACAGACTGGAAAGAAGGACTACTGATCAAAATACCGAAGAAAGGTGATCTCAGCAAGTGTGATAACTACAGGGGCATCACTCTTCTCTCAATACCGGGAAAAGTCTTCAACAGAGTATTGTTAAACAGGATGAAGGACTGCGTAGACTCACAACTTCGTGACCAACAGGCAGGATTCCGTAAGGATAGATCGTGTACAGACCAAATCGCAACTCTACGGATCATTGTGGAACAATCAATTGAATGGAATTCATCACTCTACATCAACTTCATTGACTACGAAAAGGCATTTGATAGCGTGGACAGAACAACACTATGGAAACTTCTTCGACACTACGGCGTGCCTCAGAAGATAGTCAATATCATACAGAACTCATATGATGGATTACACTGCAAATTGTGCATGGAGGACAGTTGACAAAGTCGTTCGAAGTGAAGACCGGTGTCAGGCAAGGTTGCTTACTCTCACCCTTTCTCTTTCTCCTGGTGATCGACTGGATCATGAAGACGTCAACGTCTGAAGGAAAGCGCGGGATACAATGGACATCTAAGATGGAGTTGGATGATCTAGACTTCGCAGACGATCTGGCCCTTCTATCCCAAACGCAACAACAGATGCAGGAGAAGACAAACAGTGTGGCAGCAGCCTCAGCAGCAGTAGGTCTCAATATACACAAAGGGAAAAGCAGGATTCTCCGATACAACACAGAATGCACCAATCCAATCACAATTGACGGAGAAGATTTGGAAGATGTAAAAACCTTTACGTATTTGGGCAGCATCATTGATGAACAGGGTGGATCTGATGCAGATGTGAGGGCGCGGATCGGCAAAGCAAGAGCAGCATATTTACAACTGAAGAACATCTGGAACTCAAAGCAACTGTCAACCAACACCAAGGTCAGGATTTTCAATACAAATGTCAAGACAGTTCTACTGTATGGGGCAGAAACCTGGAGAACTACAAAAGCCATCATCCAGAAAATACAGGTGTTTATCAACAATTGTCTACGCAAAATACTTCGGATCCATTGGCCGGACACTATTAGCAACAACGTACTGTGGGAGAGAACAAACCAGATCCCAGTGGAGGAAGAAATCAGGAAGAAGCGCTGGAAGTGGATAGGACACACATTGAGGAAAGCACCCAACTGCGTCACAAGACAAGCCCTCACATGGAATCCTGAAGGTCAAAGGAAAAGAGGAAGACCAAAGAACACATTACGCCGAGAAATGGAGATAGACATGAGAAAACTGAACAAGAATTGGATGGAACTAGAAAAGAAGGCCCAGGACAGAGTGGGTTGGAGAATGCTGGTCAGCGGCCTATGCTCCATTGGGAGTAACAGGCGTAAGTAAGTAAGTA